CGTCGTGAGAAATCCCATACACCCACCAAAAAGCGTTTTTGTAAGCAACTCAGCAGTGACTCTTTATGTCAGTATTTCATCTTGTTTTGTGCTTTAACCATGAAACTTAGGACTCTTTCTTATGTCTTCTAGTCAGAGCAATATCTCGGGAAATTAAAGGGGTGAAGAAGTTCAGTTTTGTAGAACTGTCGGATGCAACTAATGGTTTTGATTGCTCCACAATGATCGGTAGAGGTAGCTATGGAAAGGTCTACAAAGGCATTTTGCCAAATAAAACTGAAGTTGCCATCAAACGAGGAGAAGAAACTTCTCTGCAAAGCGAAAAAGAGTTTCTGAATGAGATCGATCTGCTTTCGAGGTTACATCACCGGAATCTTGTGTCGCTAATTGGCTACAGTAGTGACATCGGGGAACAGGTACGTCCTTTTTCAAATGCTGTTGTTAGTTAGCTTGATATCTATGTTTTTTGACTAACTGCATACCTGTTCTGTTTGGTTCATGCACAGATGCTGGTATATGAGTATATGCCTAATGGAAATGTGCGTGATTGGCTTTCAGGTAAAGAAATATTCCTCCAAGTTCTTTTTCTATATATGTAAGATCTGAAACCAAACTTTTGCCGATCCACATCGATTCTAATGTTTCAGTGGTTTTACATTGTCACGCAGCTAATGCTACAGACACATTGAGCTTTAGTATGAGGTCACATGTGGCGTTGGGTTCAGCTAAAGGAATTCTTTACCTTCACACTGAAGCAAATCCGCCTGTTATTCACCGCGATATCAAAACCAGCAACATACTCTTGGACTGTCAGCTTCGTGCTAAAGTTGCTGATTTTGGACTGTCTCGGTTGGCTCCTGCTTTTGGGGAGGGAGATGGTGAGCCCGCCCATGTATCAACCGTAGTAAGAGGAACACCGGTATGTGATACACTATGTAACCTGTGGCTTTTGACAAGACCAAACATGTTTTTCCTCTCAGATATGACATTTTGAGAATTATATATGGACAGGGATATCTGGATCCAGAGTATTTCATGACTCAGCAATTGACGGTGAGGAGCGATGTGTACAGCTTTGGAGTAGTGTTGCTTGAGCTTTTGACTGGTATGCACCCATTCTTTGAGGGTACACATATTATCCGCGAGGTACTTTTCTTGACTGAGCTCCCACGTAAACCTGATAATGGAGCTAGCTAAATCTCTGAATATATCAACAACTTTCCTAAGAGTTTTTCTGTACAATGTGATTCAGGTGAGGACGGCGAATGAATGTGGAACGGTTTTGTCAGTGGCGGATAGTCGGATGGGACAATGCTCGCCCGATAAAGTGAAGAAGTTGGCGGAATTAGCGTTATGGTGTTGTGAGGATAGACCAGAGACGAGACCACCGATGTCAAAAGTGGTGAAGGAACTTGAAGGTATTTGCCAATCTGTGCGAGAACCCGATATGTTATCAGAAACAACGAAATTGCTCTGCACCAAAACATCGCCATCATCTTCTTCTGTACCCTCGCCATTGTCTTTACTTCCTGGAAGTGACTTGGACAGTGACTTTTTCCACGCTGTAAAACCTCGTTGACAGATCTTTGTGTGAGATAGGCTAACATCAGACTAATGAGAGTTGTGTTATTATATTTAGGAGATATTATGAAACCAGTTCTGTTGTCCTGATTCCTAACCATATAAGCTAATATCTTTGGAGACATGAAAGCGAAGCAATCTTATCATGTATATATGCGTTTTTGTATTCTCTTTAGATGTTATTTATGTATACATTCTCTCAAGTTTTAAATTCATGTCTTTATGTGCAACCACGGCCTTTGACAATTTCTGGTCTGTTGGAGATTCAAGTTTCATCATCAGTGTAGAAGAGAGCTATATTCCGAGAAAAAAAGAAGATTTAAATTATGAACATAAATGCAACAATGCAAAAGGTTTGGAATACTCTGAAAACAATAAAAGTACATAAACAAATCCATGAAACACAATCCAGCAGGACAGGTAAGAGCGTAGCATGTTTGAATTAGAACACACAGACCCGAAACGAACAACAGTAGAGGACAAGTCATCGACTGTGAAGGCCCATTAGAGCAGCGCTGATCCGTAGAAAACAGCTTCCGCAGGACCTGTCATGTAGATATGGTTGTCTTCCTGTTTCCACTCTATTTCCAATGGTCCGCCCGGTAGATCCACCGTGCATTTCTGTTCCACCATAAACCAATAAAAATATATGAGGAGCTCAAGGTCAGCATGTATATGTATAACCTCATGCAGCTAATTTCAGCTCATGACAATCTTGTTAATGTAAACATACATTTGCGTCTGTTCTTTAGAGGTATGAACTCAATAATAGTAAGTGAGGGTAAAGAACCCAAAAAGGAAACAAGATTCTCCCACAAGACATGCAGCTTATTTAAGCTCAAATGAATACACAAGAAACGAAAACCAAGTAAGATCTCATCAATCGCCTACCAATCAAATCATCTAACCATTCATTGCACAGTCAAGTTTCAAAATCAAAGCTTAAAAACGCTCCAATTTTCTGTATATATACACACACATCTTTTTCCCTAAACTATCATGATTCATGTGTATAAATGGAGGACTAGGAGCTGTATACCATTGTATAATCTGAAAATGTACCATTTTGCAAACTTCAATCTAATTTTTAGTTCTAAATTCCAAACTTACCCTGTCGGCTCGACCTTCAAGGACTGCTGCAACAACCAGAGCACAAGCTCCAGTTCCACAGGCCAAAGTTGCTCCTGCAGTATTAAGTATGCATGCTTAAGGATTAAGCATATAAGGATACAAAGACTATTGACAATCAATTAAGAATTATATTCGAAGATTTGGGGGAATTAGTTGACCTGCTCCGCGCTCCCACACACGCATTTTCAAATGAGAACGTGATAAGACCTCAACAAATTCTGCAGATAAACACAGAATTGTAAGACAATTTAAGGGATATAAATCCAAATATATTAGAGAAGTTTTGCTGTATCTATCCATGGAAATCTGGATAGATCTGGCGATGAATCTCCACTAACCTGTGTTAGTTCGAGCTGGGAACATTTCATGATGCTCGAACTTTGGACCAATCTCTGGTAAGTTTAAATCATCAACTTTCAGATTCTGGTTGACACAAAGCAAAATTACAAATGATGAGAATTTCCATGTGTAGACAAATAACATAACTAGAAGTCCAACAAGCAAACACGCACCGGCCCGCCCTTTTTACCAAATGTGATACAGTGAGGATTGCCCATACTAACACACGTCACATTCCAGCTTACTCCATCAACAAATAGCTCTGCCTGAACAACAGCTTCACCTTTGTTCCCTGGCAACTTCGTGGGCACATCTTGTGCTTTAAGAATCGGTGTCCCCATGTCAACCTTAACCTGTGCCCATATCAATCACAATGCAGTAAAAAACTTGCAAACAACGAGAAAAAAGGATAAAAATTCAAACTTCACCTTATCCATCATCATGAACACGACTAAACCTTATATAAGACATCAATCCAAATGATTTACCTGGCCGTCATCTTGAATTTCTGGAACAATCAAGCCAGCACCGGTATGTATTGTAAAACTACAAAAACAAATAAAAAGACACTAGAGGTTACATCAAGCTTGACTCAATTCGGAACTCTCAACAGATATTTCTCAATACCTATGTTTTCCCTGCAAATTGTCAAGCTCAGCAATGAACCTAGCAAAGCATCTAACTCCATTGCCACACATCTACAAGAACAAAATCAAAAGCCAATGACTTCAAGCGTAACAACAAATCACTCAAACATATCAACTCCCAAATCAACAGCATTTATCATCGAAAAGCCCACCTCTGGTTCACTACCATCTGAATTGAATATCCGCATTGCGTAATCAGTACCATTGACTCCTGGCATTGCAAAGATCACTCCATCGGCACCAACACCGAAGTTTCGATCACATAACTTCGCCGCCTGTTCTTGAGTAATCTTAGGTTCCGATGAATCTCTGTTATCGACCTACAAAACCCAATTCCCAGAACGAAAAATTTGAAAACATTTGTAAGAACTCGATACATTTCGGGTTAATTTTTCAAATTGAGAATTCAACAAAGAACAAAAGTACCAAAATGAAGTCATTGCCGAGGCCATGGTACTTCACAAAATGAAGAACTCCGGTTTCTCTTTTGTCTAGAAAACTCGCCGGAGAAAATTTATCAGCAGTGACGGCGTCCATGGAAGCTGCAGCAGACACACGAAGGCTAGTGCTCTTAAAGCAATATTCTTTCTCAAGGATACCAAACGAAAGAGAAGAGACGGATCCTATCTTCCTAAAGAACGCATTCGACACCCTGCGCGATTGCGGCGCGACGGAGACACTGCTAATGGCGGCTATCTCCATGGCTGCTTTCAGATTTTTCCTTATTCAACGACTCTCCTGTCTCCTCCATATTAAAAAGACTTTGGAAAAAACACCGCATCGTTCTGATATTCAATAACCGAACTCCACGTCGTTTTTAAGCCTTAACAATAAAAAACATCATGTCGTTTCTTTAGTCAACAGATATTTAATAAAGGCCTGAATAGAAAAGCCCATTAAGAACTTCCAAAGCCTCTCTCTCTCTCCCCCTTCGCTGTTCTCTTCCTCAGGTTCGCTCTCTCTCTCTCTCTCTCATTTCAGTCTCTTTCGCTGTTAAATATTTTCTCCTGAGATTTTTTCTTCAATTCCAAATTCAGTGAGCATTTTTATTGTATCTCCGATCTGAATTCCGGCGATCAATTTACGACAGCGTCGAATTCAACGTTTTGAATTACTCTGTGTGAGAGAGATTTGCGGTTAGTTTATTAGCTACATTTACTTAATACTTTTTTTTTATATTTTTTTTCTGTTACTTTTCCCACCTTTTTTAGTTATCTTCTGGAGATAGATCGGGCCCCCAAATTGAAGATAATTAGGGTTTCGAATTTCGGAATCTTATTCGAAATTGGAGATAATTGGATTCGAAATTCACCCACAATTCTCTCTTTGTTCATAATCTGGGTTTTTTAATTTCAGCTCTGGATTTGCATTTTTATAACCCTTTATGCAAAGCAGTGTGTATCGTGATAAAGCTAGCTCGATCGCGATGATCTTGGAAACTCAGAGGAATGTTGAATTCCCTCATAGGATCGTTGATAAGCGTCCCAGGAAACGGCCTCGATTGGCTTGGGATGCTGCTGCGCCTCTTCTTCCTCCTCCTCCTCCACCCACGGTAACGATTTGTCCACAAATCTTTGTCCTTTGTATTAAAGGGATGTTCTTTTGTTGTTTTCATAGCTCTCAAATTGGATTTTACTTATTGTCTGTGTTTTTGATCTTGGACTATACTGCAAATTGTGTGAACTACTACAAATTTAAGATTTTTATATTTGTGCTTAAGCTAAGTGTCAGCTGGTGTGTTTGTTTTTTTTTCCAGGTATTTCAACCTCCGTTGTACTATGGTCCCGAGTTTGCGAGTGGAGTCATTCCCAATTTTGTTTACCCAAACATGTTCTATAATGGCCTTCCTCGTCAGGGCTCTCCTCCCTGGAGACCAGATGATAAAGACGGCCATTATGTCTTTGTTGTTGGAGATACTTTGACTCCACGATGTGAGTCTATATGTTACAGAGTCTTTCTGACATGTTATCTGTTTCACAGACTTTATCATGGAGGTTTACATTGACATGCCTCTTGTTGTGCGTGCAGATCAAATTCTCAGCAAAATGGGTGAAGGTTAGTTATCTCTTGCTAAAATGTTTATATGTTTAGTTTATTCTGTTTTTCTTTCTGTTAATATGCATGCTCTAAGTCAAAGTAGGATTTCCGTATATGAAAGTGTAGGTGAAATATGGTTATTTGGTCGCCAGTTATCTTAATCAATTGGATTGTACTCTGGCAGGTACATTTGGACAAGTATTGGAATGTTTTGATAATAAAAACAAAGAAGTCGTGGCAATCAAAGTTATACGGTCCATAAGCAAGTATCGTGAAGCTGCCATGATAGAAATTGATGTGTTGCAAAGGCTTACAAGGCATGATGTTGGTAGTTCTCGGTAAGAATATTTCTCTCCTCTTACTATTTCTTGGCCAGTGTGAAATTTATTGCAATTGGTATAAGCTTTTCAATTCCTTGCAGTTGTGTGCAAATACGGAATTGGTTTGACTATCGTAATCATATTTGTATTGTAAGTACTGTTACCTTTATTTGATAAGTCTGAGGGGAAAGTAAAATTTTCTTCATGCCCAAATATTATGTGAGTTAAAAGAACTTGCGGATGGGTTTAAATGGTTTCAACAGGTATTTGAGAAGCTTGGGCCAAGCTTATATGATTTTCTCCGCAAAAACAGCTACCGATCATTTCCCATTGACCTTGTTCGGGAGCTTGGCAGACAACTTTTGGAGTCTGTAGCATGTGTGTGGAATATTCTTGACCCATTCTTCTATATAGTAGTCCATTAGTGCCATGAATCATTTTTCTATTTGGAACTTTTTGATACAAGACTTAGGCGTTAATAGTTATTACTTAATGTTTCTCTTGTGATACTGCAATTTCCATGGAATCCATATTGCTCAGACATTTATTTCTGGAGACTTTTGTTGAATAGTGTACTCAGACTTTGCTTATTCCATTCTGACAGATATGCATGATTTACGGCTGATCCACACTGATTTGAAGCCGGAGAACATTCTTTTGGTATCGTCTGAATATATCAAAATACCTGATTATAAGGTGAGTAATTAACTATCTCCAAGCTGGACTCGTTTATTTGCATGGCTAATATGACATCCATCCATGAAGGAACTTGTATAACTCGAGTTGGTTGACCTTTTTCCTTTGTGGTCATGAAAATCTAGTTTCTGTCACGACCCACGAAAGATGGGTCATACTTCAAGAATCTACCCAAGTCAAGTGCCATCAAGCTCATTGATTTCGGAAGTACAACATTTGAACATCAAGACCATAACTACATTGTATCCACTAGGCATTACCGCGCACCAGAAGTTATCTTAGGTAAACTTTTATGACTTTGACACATCTATGTAGATGATTATTATTTTTTGTATAGTAATGGTATTTAAAATTTTGGAACATTATTGCAGGGGTTGGATGGAACTATCCATGCGATCTGTGGAGTATTGGTTGCATACTTGTTGAACTTTGTTCGGTGAGTAACTTTCTGTTTGCATGTTTTTCGGTACACCAGGATTCATCTCACCATGTCTCCATAAACGTTTCTTCTTGATTAAACCTTGCAGGGAGAGGCGCTTTTCCAAACGCATGAAAACTTGGAGCATTTGGCCATGATGGAAAGGGTCTTGGGACCATTACCACCTCATATGGTGCTCAGAGCCGAGTAAGAACAACAAGATCATCCTATTAGCAGCATCAGATACCAGCGAAAAATATAATTTGAACTGTCATTTCTTATATCAAAATCAAAACGGTTCTTGCAGCCGGCGCTCTGAAAAATACTTCAGGCGAGGTGCAAAGTTAGACTGGCCTGAAGGTGCGACATCAAGAGACAGCTTAAAAGCAGTTTGGAAACTTCCCCGGCTACCGGTAAATAACCTTACATTGGACTTGACATTCGCTTATCTGCAATATTGAAATTAAGGACACCAGTTTTTTTGCAATTTGCAGAATCTCATAATGCAGCATGTGGATCACTCAGCCGGTGATCTGATAGATCTATTACAAGGGCTGCTTCGATATGATCCAACAGAGAGGTTCAAGGCAAGAGAAGCACTGAACCATCCCTTCTTCACAAGAACCAGGGAACAGAGTATACCCTTCAACCCAAACCCTCATCCATTTTTATACAACCAAAAGAACTAAAAAAGGGAAGAAACAGCAGATGACGTTTGGATAAATCTGCAGTTTCTGTGTATCCTTCACTTTCCTGTGTTTTTGTAGCATTTTATTATATATGATTTTCATGTATAGAAATGAAAGAAAGAGAGAAAGGTTTGTGCCTAATTTTTCTTATCTGTTGTTTTGGTTTCTTGTGTTCACTTTCCGACCACAACAACTGTTGCTCATGGTGTTGTAAGAGTTATTACAGTTACTTACTTTACACCACAAAGTGATTGTTACACTGTGTCATCTTGGTAAGTAGAATCCGGTTTGGGTACACACAATCTGAAACATTTATTGATTTTTTTTGGATAGGTTAAAACGCAGCGTAAGGCCCAGCAATGACCAAAACGCTGTCGTAGCATGTGAAGCAAGGAGTGAATATTCGGAATCGAAAGGCTTGCTTGATCTTCTTCTTCACCTATCTCTTTACTTGCTCAAGGTTTTTAGGGTTTATCTATCTCTTTCCGCAATCATGGAGTCTCTGGGGAAGCTACAGCTCCATCACCAGCCATTTCACCTTTCCTTCACTCACACCTCTTCTTCATCGTTCCCGAAAAACCTCTTCAGGACCTCAATTCGGCCAATTTCATCTTTCAAATCCGCTTCAATCAAAGCTTCGTCCTCCAGATTTCAAGACTCTATCACCCCTCTCCCAAAGTCCACACCTTTCCGTCTCTTGAAATCCACATGCATCACTCTAACAACCGCCGCGGCGCTGCTTTTGGCGAATATCCACCTCAAATCGCCGGCGATTGCAGCTCCCGTCGCGCCTCCGCCGTCAGTTGAAAGCAAAGAAAACGTTACCTTGGAAGAAGAAGAGAGAGCGCTTGATGAGCATTTGATAACTCACCCTTCTGATGTCGACGCTCTTCGTTCCTTGATGGAGGTAAAGATCAGATCTCGAAAGCTTACAGAAGCCGTAGAAGTGATCGATCGTCTGATAAAACTGGAACCTGAAGAAAAGGAATGGCCAGTTTTGAAAGCGAACATCTTCACCTACAGTGGAGATTTAGACTTAGCTAAAACTGGATTTGAAGAGATTCTGGCTAAAGATCCGCTTCGTGTTGAAGCTTATCACGGCTTGCTTATGGCTTATTCAGATGCAGGTCTTGATTTGAAAGAGGTAGAGAGTAGAATTGAGGAAGCAATGTTGAAGTGCAAAAAAGAGAATAATCACAACGATTTTCGGGATTTTAAGCTACTTGTGGCGCAGATTCGGGTCATTGAAGGAAAGCATAGTGAAGCATTGAAGCTTTATCAAGAGCTTGTGAAGGAGGAACCAAGAGATTTCAGGCCGTATCTTTGTCAGGGAATTATATACACATTGTTGAAGAAGAAAGACAAGGCAGAAGAACAGTTTGATAACTTTCGGAAACTTGTTCCAAAGAATCATCCTTATAGAGAGTATTTTATGGATAATATGATAGCAACAAAGCTTTTTTCGGAGAAAGCGCAGCGTGAGATGGCTGAGGAGATGGCTGGATCAAGTAGTTGATGAGAATATGTAATGTTTTTAGCAAATCGTAATGAGGTGAAGAATTATGCTTAGAAGACTTGAAAAATGTGGTTTTGATGATTTTCTGTTGCAGGATTTTCTTGATCATCTTAAGATGTCTCTTTAGTTGGTTTACATAAAAGTTCATAAGTTGAATACTTGGTTTGATTTAATAATGGATTTGTATCACAATCCCTGTGCCTATACGCTTATATGTATATCTGGCTCCTTAGTTCCAAACGGACAGTGAAGCCTCATACTTTGGCAATATCATACATTGTTTGCTTGTTGATTTGGATGATATTTTGGGCACAATTCTTTTTGATATTCCCGCCATCTTTTGTGAGAGACCGATGGATCATATCATCTGTTTGGTGAATCTAAATATAGTAGAGGAAGGCTATATCAACAGTGTGTGATGAACTCTTTGCTGGTTCTTTGATTTTCTTACCAAAAATAACGGAAAAGTAAAGCATTTCATGTTGAGTTTGATATTTCAGTCTGAGGTTTGACATGGAGTGTAATATCGTTTTGGAATTAAGCTTTATCGTCGTTTACTCTTCATATACTTGCATATCATCGCGAATGCATTTTGATATTAGGTGCATGTTGCCATAAATGCATCCGGTTTGGCAGGTACTTGGGGAGTGAGAAGTATTCACTAGTTAAGCTTATTCTTTCATCTTTGCTTGTTTAATAACCAAATGCACAAATCACATACATACACACATACTTTTTCTTTTTGGGTCATAACATACACAATCTGCGTCTAATACTGCATGGACTCTGTAGGTGGTGGTAATATGGGATTAGCTTTGTGGAACCTGAAATCCAAGAAAGAAGAGAACATCGGTCTCGTGGAAGCCACTACAAGCAGCATTCTCTCAGCTGGTACAAATACAAGCAGCATTCTCTCAAGGTGTTAAGGCTTCCTCTGTTTCTTTCTATTTCACTTTTCCTCCTGTACATGAGAAAACAAACCGACAAGACAACAATTTCCAAAAGGGTTTCTTCTTTATTTTCTTTTATAGCCGAAATTCAGGGGAGATACCTTACTGATTGTCTTAAACTTCTACATATAGACTGTTCACTAGTTGAGCTCAATCTCTAATCTCTGCATGCTTATTAAAATTACCAAATACACAAAGCACATTCACATTTAGATTGCTTACATCTATTTGTTGTGGATAATCTGGAAATCGATGTCTAATAGCCATGTTGTGCTTCATAATGGAGTCGTAATTTTGATAGATGTACATCTCTTCCTCCAAGAGGAGTCTGAAGAAAAGGACTCATAAGACAGATTTTTTTGTTCTTGGAACTTTAGATTCTCATGATGTCTTAAGTTGATTTGACTTTGGGGATCTTTGAGTTTGATTTTTTAAAAACTTGAATCATGCAGCTATATATGGAACAACAATTTTGTAACATTGTAATTCTAGTATCTTATAAAAAACAATATCTTGATTAAAGGCACACGCATGATCCATATGATAGTAAAAGATTAGTCACTCATTATTTCATTGTTAACCCTCATATGTTCAAATCGAGTGGAGAATATAAGATGGGATGATGTCGAAACCCTAGACATAGATTCTAACTCTTTCATCGTCTTATGCTTGTTGGTTGATTTCAAGGAGACTCCAACTCTCCTTAAACATTTAGAGTTGGCAAGGATGTATCGCACGATTTGTTTCTCCTCCCTTCTTCCTCTATATCCTTTCCACTCAAAGATCTCTAGATGGTTTGACAAACATTCGGGAACAGAACTTGGTAGGTTCCATGAAAGTGGCAACTCCTTTTCAAGTCGTTTGAATGACTGCGAAGAAACAACGTAAAAGTGATATGATAAACACATTTACTAGTTCTTTAGTCAATCCATCAAAACTGCATGAATGAAAAAAATGAAGGTGCAAACCTGGTCGATGAAAAGAACTTTTAGATTAGGAGAATTTTGAAGCAAAACTATTAGTGGTTCCAACCAGTCTAACTCGTTTAGAATAATCAGCTTACACTCTATAAGCCGAGAGAAGTTAATAGTGTTAAACCACGCAAGCTGCAATGAACACAACAACACATAAGTAATCCTTAGAAAAGTGATCATACCAATATATTAGACAATTGAATTTTAAAAAAAAAAAAAAGAAGGAAATTGAAAAAGAGAAGTACAAACCGTTGCAAGGCTCATAATTAATTCGAGACACATGATTGAGGAAAGAGATCTCATGAACTGGTTATCAGGGTAAGAAAAAAGGTTGATCTTTGCCTTATCAAGGCGAGGCTTATTCTCAAACAAGCAAGAGTCTCCCGAATAATCTGTAATGAAGATTTTCTTTAAAACCGGTGAATCTATTACCAAAGTCCCCACAACACCTTCGTTTTGTGCTCCCAATTTCACATAATCATATGATAAGTATTCCATAGATGGAACGTTTATATTAAAAAAATTCACGTTGTCTTGATGATGTCGATCCACGACCAAAGATTTGAGAATTGGACAACTCGATAAAAGTCTAACGACAGAATCTTCATCTTTATATACCACAAAGGAAAGTCTAAGACCTTTGAGGGATGGAAGGCATGCCAAAGAAGGAACATCAATGAGAATATTGTCGGAAAGACATAGAGAGACAAGAGTTTCACATGTGTAAAGGCTCTTTGGCAAGCTGGTTGGCTCCGCGGACCAGGTGAGCATGAAACATAGCTCTCGCACCTTACGATGATCAATCGCATTTGCAATCCACTTTCCCACATCAACTTCATCAAGACATCGTGGACCGAGTTCTATATGTAATAATTCTAATACAGGTGCTTTGTGGACTTGTAATGACTTGTCAATAAACCGTTCTTGCTTATCACTCTTCCCAAATAAACGGTCAAGCAAACGACCAAGTAAACCGCCAATAACTAGAGTAACATTTCTCTCTGCAGGGTACGTAAGTTTTGGCACCTTTGTCCAAACATACCGCCATCGTTTTGATAAAATCATAGTAGCCACTGCATCTTTTGTTGGGACTAGCAACAATATGTGCACGAGCAAATCGTCGGACAACTCACTGATCTTGTCTTCACCTCCAATACTCCGAAAGCTTTTGGGTTTTTTCTTCTCAAAATGTCGGGATGTTTGGTCTAACAGTATCCCTACCGCAGACCAAATATGAATTCTGCTGAAATTTAACAAAAGATGTCGCAACATATTTGCTCCTTGAAACTGCATCGCCAACAATGATTCTCCAAACTACACCAACAACGCTTCAGGGTCTCAATTTAGGATATATTATGATAACTTGATATACACGACGCATATCTTTAAGTAAGATTATTTTTATTTGTTCTTATCTCTCGTTTTTTTTTATATAATAAATAAAAACAGATATGTACCAGATTTGTAAGGATCAAATCTCGAAAGCTTCTAGAAGCGATATAAGTGATCAATCTTTATTAGCTCTACAGTGAAGATCTAGATTCAGCTAAATCTGGATTTAAGAGATTCTGGATCTTAACGTTGAAGCTTAGCACGACTTTTTTTTTTTTTTTTTTTTTTTTTTTTTTTTTTTTTTTTTTTTTTTTTTAGCTTAGCACGACTTGCTTAAAGCTTATCCGATGTTATCGTCATTTTCTCTGTATAAACTTGCATATACATTTAATATCATGTATTCATGTGCATGTTGCCATAAATGCATCAGGTTTTGGAGGTACTTGAGGAGTGAAGACTAATCACTAGTAGTTAAACTCAATTATAATCTCTGCTTATTCAAGTAACTCAATGCACAAAGCACATACAAATGTTTTTATGTTGATTGCATCTATCAGTTGTGGATAATCAGGAAATGGACGTCCAATAGCCAAGTTGTGAGGAGTCATAAGTTTGATAGATATATCTTCTTCCATGAAATTGTCATGCCGTTTTTAACTGGACCACAATTTCGACAATCACAAACGATGATCTTGTTCTTCTTCTTCTGTAGGTGAAGTTTATAAATGCTATGCCAATTACCCATTTTCTTGCTTGATTTTGACCTTTGGTAAGGTAAGGTCCCCACATTCCATCAAATCGATAGGGAAATGACTGGTTAATTCCGGTTCTCTAAACCAAAAGATTATATAATGTCCGGTTAACAAAAAACCAAAAAGACAGTAGATTCTTTGGGGTATGATTGTCTTCATGGTCCCAACCGCAGTAGATTTGGAAGTTGATTGCAATATCCTTATCTCTGTCTCTCCCTCTCTGGCTCGTTGTAATCTAACACATTCTTTGGTTTTGATTCAGTGTTTCTTGAAACCAGCTTTGCTTACGTGTCGGTCTGATGCAAAGTAGAATCAATTATCTCTTTCATTTTGGTCTCATATCTACAACTTTATCAATTAACGCACCTAACACTCAATCTTCGCATTATTGTACTCCCTTTGTGCTACTCAAGTTCCGAGAAGATGTAAGAAACCAATATGAGAAAAAAAAAAAATTTAGATGTTGTAGCAATTATTATATATTTCGAAATTTGTTCACTTAGAATTTGATAGAAGAGTGGTCTAACCAAAACTAAACCAAACAAATTTTGTTATTATGCATCTAGAGATTTTATCAGAGAGGATATTAAGATTTTTTTTTTTATCAAATCACATGTTTTCCATATCATTTTTTAGTATTTTAGTAGATTAGTATCTTAGATTTCATAGCTTTTAAATAAATAAATAAATTCATGTTTCTAAAAAATACATTAAAAAAAGAACTAATGATGTTTATAGTAATTTTTTGGAATCATTTTTAAAAATGCTATATAATTAATCTATGGTTGTTCTTCCAAATGAATACATCCAAAAAAAAAAAATTGTTAATTACATATTTACATCCAACTTATTACATTGTTTTTACCAAAAAAAAAAAAAAAATCCATTCATGCTCAGATTCTTGTTGATAAAATGGGGTACCTAATATGTAAAAATGTATAGATGATTGTTTACTTTCTACTTAAAAGCATACATTCAAACCTTTACATTGTACTGTATCTATCAAAGAATAATAATTTTATAGATTTAGATTTAGTGAATGTTGGTCTAAGATGTCTAAGTATCAATGCTTATCAGTAAAGTAAGACGTTGTTGGCAGCTAATCATAGGTTAAATATTAAAATAGTTATGTCGCATTTGGAGAAAT